CCATGAGCGAAGAAATCGAGAAGAATACGAGCGACAACTCGTAGAGGCCCGAGGAGTAAGAGAGGGTGAAGTTCAAAACCTTGAAGATGATGGTGCGCTGAATTTTCTAATCCTTGAGGACAAGGAAAGTCTTGAAGAGGAGAGGAATGATACGGAAGTGGTCATCAACCCAGGCGAGTCCGACGAGGAAGGTGACGATGGTCTCGATATATGGCTGGAGAACATGATGGAGGAGCCATCAAGCCCGATATATCAAACATCATGCGAGAGAGACTGGCCAAAAGGATGTGGTCCACAATCCAAGCTTAAGCCAAAGAAGCGCAAGACCAAACGAGCCCAAAGGAAACGCAAGGCAAAGGCTAAGGAATCATGTTGTTGGTGTAAGCCTTGTGCAAAGAAAAGGCGAGCACGAAAGAAGGAGGCTAGAAGGCGTGGTTTGTGATGAGTTGAAGATGGGTGGTAGATACCGACGGAAGATTGTGAGAGGTTAAAAGGTTGGGATCCATGGCCCGAGCCGACGAAGACGAGCGGCAACAAGAAGGTCGACGAGGATCGGCTAATAGGCGAATGGCACGCATCGGCCCATGATGCGCACGGTTGGACGGAACAAGATGATGTACGCGGGAGCACGATAAGCGGGCAAGTCACGGAGGTCGATTGGGACGCGTTAGTATTCGGCAGTGGCGAAGGCGCGAAGTGTGCAGGAGGCGCGCATAGCACGCACGCTAAAGGTAGCCTAGGCCGCGAAGGCCTAGGAATGGCAGCAGTACACGCGCGCGAGGAGTTCGCCAGCGAACGAGTGCGCGCAACAGCGCGCAAGTGGGGCAGAAGCGCGGATGGCCCAATCCTTGCGGGCTTAGGAATGCCGATGGGCGAGGGCATGCACGCGCGGGGAGGAGTCGGCGACCAGCAGGGGTGCGCGAGGGACGACGCATGCACGGACGGACAAGGCCTAGTCCACACGGGACTAGGCGAAGCAAGGGCGGTGTGTGTGCAGCACGCGTAAGAGACCCAATCCGTAGAGGAGTGCGAGTGCGGTGGGCGCACGCGTGAGACACGCGATGTGCGCGCATAAAGACGGCCGAAGACTTAAGGTTTGGAATTGTTTGGAGTGCAAGCCAAGCAAGATCAAGATCTAGTCGATTAGGACTCTAGTATATTTAGTTTTTTTTCTTGCACAATAATATCTAGATTGTTTAGGAATTTAATATTTTATTGCTTAAATAAGTTTCCTAGGTAGATTAGAATTAGTCATAGTTAGGATCTATAAATAGGGAGCATCCCTCATTGTTTTTCATGTCAAGAAATATGATGAAATAGAAAAGAACATTTGTTCGAAACCGCGTGTTAGGATTCGTGAGAGTTCGATCATGCAATCGAATTAGTGAGGCTAAGACCCA